TTTATCTACTATTCATCTCCTTTCTGAGGTAATCCACTGAAATCTTGAAGGTTTTTTGAGGGAAAGCCTCTACCTTATTACTTACACGTTGGCTAGATTATTGTCTTTGGCTCTCCCTTTATACATGTGGTTTCTCTGTTTTTGGAATGTTCTGGCTGTAGATCTGGCCTAAGTTCATTATGTTCTTGGGGATTTATGGATGGCTCATTTTTTTGATGGTATGTTTTTGATCATGTACCTGAGACTTTGGAATCACATGTGGAATCTGTGCATCAAACTCTACCCTTTCCTCCTTGGTAGGACGTTTGTCACAGTCGGAACCAAGATAAGCCCCTATTCCTGTTTCCACTCCTAGTCCTTCTCAGCCTTTACCTGTTCCTCCATCCAGGGGTTTCTCATCTCGTCATTTTATTTGATGTAGATGGGCACGTCGCCAAAAGTACCAGTGACTACCCAGTGGGTTCTGGTCTGGTGGAAGCCCAAGTGTACGAATTTGTTCCCCTTTGATGATCTTTCACCACAGATCTTTGGGTTTTATCAGAGAGTCTTGTTCTACAATTTCTCCCCCCTCCTCCTTTGTCTCAGGTACCCATTTCCTTCCCCATGGCTCAGAATCCTACCACCAGCCAGCGTCTGTAAGAGGCAGTAAAAGACCTTCTGTCTCACCAAACCTCTTCATCATCTTTCTCCAGGCTATTATTGCAAACTGTTTGTTGCCTGTAATAGATTTGTCCCACCTCAACCAATTTCTCAATCTGCCCTGTTTCACCATGTGGTCATTTCTCACCCTCAGGTGGGCTTTTTCTCCAGGTTTATGGATGACCAAGGTGGATGTCGTGAATGCTTATTTGCATATCCCGATATCTCATCAGTCGTGACCCTGTCTTTGGTTTGGTCACCCTGGGGTGGCTTATCAGTTTTGCACACTGCCCTTCGGGCTTGCTTCAGCCCCATATGTTTTTGTAGTCAGAGTATTCACTCGTCACACAATTACATGTTCTCAGGTTGTGCTTTCATCATTATATGGACGACTGGCTTCTGTTAGCTCATTCCAAACATCTTGTCCATTTTGGGTGTTTTTTACAACACCCATCTCATTCAGGCCCTACCTTCTTCTCTTCGACTTCATTCGATGGAGCTTTAAGTTCTTCATACTCTTACTGCTCCCTCTATAACATCTCACATTTGGGCATGTGGTCTTCCATGGCAGCCCTTAACTTATTTGGTAGGGCTCATATGCAGGCTCAGTGGAATCTTGCTAGGAATCCTTTGACGGCTCTTATTACTCTTCCTCCTACCCTAGTCGACGATCTTCATTGGTAGTTGTACAAGACTCACAATGTCAGCAGGTGTCCTGCTTTCTCCTCCTCGTCCAGATTTACACATTTTCAGATATGCATCCATTCAGGAATGGAGGAATGAGTCGATCAATACGAAACTTCAGTGTATTGGTCTGCAGTTGAGAAGTCTTATCATATCAACATGCTGTAGCTTCTTACTGTACATTGTGCTTTGGTTCATTTTCTCCTGCTGGCCATAAATCATCTGGTAACGATCCATTCCAACAATTCAACAGTGGTTGCTTATCTGAATCACCAGGATGGCATCCATTCTTGATCCCTCTTCCTTTTTGGACCTACACACTACATATTCATATCATTTTGTGTCATGTTCTGGGTGCTTTCAATCTTGTCACAGATCGGCTTTGCCTTTAGTCAGTGGGGTACTTCTCACATTGATGCTTTTACCATGTCCCTTAACCACAAATTGCCTCTGTTTGGTCCCTAGTCCCTCATCTTCTTTCTCTGGTTGTTGATATTTTCAGCCAGGACGGGACCAACAAATACCTATATGTTTATCCTTCCATTCAAGTGATTTCAGTCATCCGTGTCAAGTCCTTTGGATTGCTCCTTATTGGCTGGATCAGCCATGGTTTCTGCAACTTCTTTAGCTCCAACTTACTCCCTCCATTACCTCTTTCTCTGACTCCATCTCTTCTTTGTCTACCTTGGTCACAGGTGCTTCATCCAGCTCTTCCTGCCTTCTGTCTTAATACCTGGTTTTCATCCAGCCCTTGGTGAGGAGATCCAGCTTGACCCAATGGGTAGCTTTTTTCTGGCTCGTTCCATTTGTCCTTCCTCCATAGAAGTTTATCATCATAAATGGAATGTTTTCCGTCATTGGTCTCTGGGTCAAGGGTTTTCCCCTGCTCAATCCACTGTTCCTTATATTGCAGATTTCCTCACTTGGCTTTTCGATCTTGAGTTATCAGGCCACTTTGTCCCATACCTTTCATTTTCCCAATATTGTAGGGTGTTTACCTGTCCTACTTTTTCCCTGTTGATGCATTCCTTCTGGATTAATTGTCCATCATGACAGACTGCCCGTCCAGGTTGGGATATTAATGTGGTCCTTCACTGCCTGAATTTGTCTCCATTCAAACTACTATCAACGTGCTCCTTGTTTCACCTTTCCCTTAATACATATTTCCCTCTCCTCTTAGCCCATGGAAATTGAAAATCCATTTTATTGGCATCAATGTTTCACATACTCTTTATCATTCTACATAACTTCTCCTTTATCTGTATCATTCGTTTCTCACCATAACTTCAGCAGCTTGTAATGGTAACTCCTCCTTTTTGCTGATTTCCCTTCCTTCCATTTCCCACCATTATCCTTGGCACAATCCAGATAGACTTCAATGCCCTGTACGTGCTCTTTGGTGTTATATTTCCCACATGGCTTCCTTCCATGGTGCTCATTCCTACCTCTTTATTCCTTGGCAGCAGTCCTCTGTTCGTGATCTTTCTCCTTCCACTCTCGCCAGTTGGGTTCAGCTTTTAAATCGATTGGTTTATTCCTCTTTATCGTATCTCTCCCATTCATTGTTCTGGGTGTCTTCTATCAAATTTGACACCTTATCTTTTCATTGGTATCTCATCTTCATCATTACTTGGAAGAAATTCTTCAATTGAGCATGTGGGCTATCCCTAATATGTTCATCTCTCACTATTTGCATAGTATCATGGATTATTCCACTCCAGGCTATCGTCTTCTGCCTGTAGCCATTCTTCAGACTTCAGTGAGACTTTGACTGGGTAAGTTATTTTATTATGCCTTATTTCTTTTCAGGGGCCTTTTTCCCTTTTTATTATTACTCATTGTTTGGATCCTGCTCTGTGGCAAGTGGTGCCTGAGCAGATGTTCTTTAACTGGTCAAATCCACACTGTAAAGCCCAGTCGACGTACATATTATATTTCCATTGCCAAGCAACACACGTTGCCTTGTATTGAATTAATTGGTATGGTCTGCTTTTAAAAATAGGGTTTTGTGGTCACCCATTGCACTGTCTCCTGTGTTGTCATTCCTCCAGACTGTCCATTGTATCCCCCCTTTTCTTCTAGTGAAGTTTGAGAGTCCTTACCACTTTCCAGTTCCAAGCCATTGGGTGGTGGATCATGGAGGCATCCTCCTGAATTAGTTAATGAAATACAAACAAAATATAGATATGATTAGAAAACCATTCAGTTGAGAGTAGGGTGGTGTTCTGCTGGTGTACATAACCTGATATCCTCCAATATGATACAAAAATAAATGGGAGTGAAGTGTCAAAATTGCAATTCACCCTTTTAATTGGGATCCCTCATCCTACCCCTATGTGGATGTCGGTTCCCAGTGACTGGGTTTTGGATTTAGAGTTGAACCAATCAACATAAGTCCTCACAAATGTATTATAGATGTCTATATTCTTCCCTCATTTATACTCTTGTTACTCCATCAGTGTTGTGGGTCATGGTGGAGGGATATGCAGATTATTACGGTTCTTCCCCTTCCACTATCCCTCAATGCTTATTATTCTGAGGATGTTTCTGTGCTTGGGGTGTTTCTGGTCAATTTCAATTTTGAGGGAGATGGTTTACATTATGTAGGCATCTTTTCAATATTGGATATTGGGTTCCTGGATCGATCTATTAATTTGTTATATTAACATGTACCCCGTTCATTGGTCTGGGGTTCTTGATTCCCTCCAGCCTCATGAAATTGAGATGAAGACAGTATGATCCTCTTTCCTACCCCCACCAGATGGCTGGGTTTTAAATTGTAGTTGACTTACCAATGGCATGACTGTCTCCTCTTAGGGAGTGTTTTTCGATGTTTATGAAGGATACTTCTCTCTTTCCCTTCCAACGGTCCCTCCACCTATTCAAACTGTGATTCTAGCTATTTATGCGAGTGGAGGTAATGTACCGTGTCTGAAGTTATAATTTTCCTATACTGAAAATGTATTTCTGATGGATACTTACCTCTTGTCACACTTCCCACCCTTCCTCCCTACTGAAAACTACTGCTTTCATCTTCTACCAAAACTCAAAGTGATAGTTCAGTAGAATTGAATAGAGGGAGTCACATGCATCAGGAGAGTATGTCACACTTTTAGGAGGGTTGATACATGATGATTTGAATGAGAGATGCACTGGAATCAGTCAATTCCAATGGAGAGGAGATAAAAGGCTTGTGGCACAATTGTTTTGCATATAGAGGGCAGCACTGAATGAGAATAGCTATGTATGTGAGTGGAGGTAAGTACCTAGAAGAAATACATTTTCAGTGTAGGAAAATTATAACTTTCAAGTTGTCCTAAAGAAATAACAAGTAGTTGATTATAAATGTTTTTACCAAAATTATCCAGTACATGCTGAATTTTAGATCTTGTTGATGACTGGTTAGGTTAGTTTACCAAAAGTCTAATGTTATAAACATAATTATTGAACTTTTTCCAGTAGGTGAGTGACTTTTCTATTTAATTTTGTAAGAAAATTTTACATTGAAGTCAAACAGTGTTAGGTCATCATATATACAATATTATCTGATTTCTGTTAACAGTTCTCTAACACAGGATTTACAGTTATGCTATATGTAATGTTATCTTATTATGGTTAACAATTCTAGCTTCAACAGTGCTTTAGTTATTTATGTTGATGACGAGTTCTTCTTTCAGGACACATTCTGTTGTACTTGTTGATGGGACTGGTCAAGTGGATTTTTATGAAAGAACAATGAAGGATCCGTTGAACAACAAAGATTGGGTAGAAACTCACTTCACCTTTCAGATAGAATAGTCCCCATGAAGACCAATAAATAGTGTTTTGTTTTAAATGTTCTAATTTGAACATTTATAATTATGTAATACTCTGTTGCAAACAGAAGAGCTGCTAAAATTATACCATAATAATTAAAATAATATATATATTGTTAATTATGAGTGTATAGGCTTTTATATATTATACTGAATGAAAATTATAAAAATATACTAAGGATGTACTGAATAACACACACAACCAAAACCTAAATTACTCCTATTGATTTGGAATGTTCAAATAAATCAACAAATAAATTATTTTTTAGTTTCTTGAGATTGTGAAAGGTTTCAGTGCAGTCTTGAAGTGACTTCTGAAAATTTTTTTATTACTTTTCATAGTTATTCAACGACTCTGGTTTTTAATACTGTTATTATGTGTGTATTGAGTCTGGAAATATGTTTTGGAAATCTTTTTTTTTTTCCCAAATGTGAATTTTTACTTTCCTAATAACAGCTGATTTTGTTTCTAATACAGTACCTACTTCAACTTTTGAAAATCTGATTTATTTGACGTATATCAACTCAACTATTTCATCAGAACTCGGTACTGTGCTGTAAGTGTGTAATAGAAACTTTAGTGCTAATCACTTGGAAAAAATAAAAACAACTGAGATTTATGTAAACCTGTGTTAGGATTTCTTGTTATTATCTATTTTATACTTTGGGAGTATGAGAAGTTACTTGTGTTTTGTTGGTCTAATCTTTAAAGAAATAATGAAAGTTCTGAAGTACTAAGAACTGAGTAAATATATATGATATCATGAATAGCTTTTCAAGGAAAATGTTTATTTTTTTAAACAATTAAAACTATGACATTTAATTCAGCCCATAAGAGCAGGCCATCTGCAGGCATTCAAACTTGAATTTGTAATTATTCTTAACCATATGTTGACCAAAGATGGCCTACTCCTGTGAGCTGAAATGTTACAGATTTAACTACGTGAAAAAAATGTATGCTGTAAAACTGTTCATGATATCAGATTTAGTGCAAGTTTTATACAAAAACATTAATTTGAATGTATTTTAAGCTGTTAATATTAGCAAGTCATGGGAGCTTAATCAATAGCTCTGTTTTTGCAGTGTGTATAAACGTCATGTTATGTACTTAGTGCGTTTACAATCAGCTGGAATGTGATATACATAACTCAAGTGTTTAACTAATGTTAAAACAGGATAGAATTTGACCCGTAGTTATAGTAAGTTTGTTAATCAAGTCCAATAATGAACATCAGTAGCCTTCATAGTACAAGCCAAATGTTCGTGAAAACGAAAGGCTTTAGAATAAGTTAATAGTAATAATCAAATCATTCTCCATGAAAGAAAACTAAAACCTTCTAGTCCTTGTTGAGTGTGGGAGATCAGAAGCATGTGGACTGGGCCACAATGTTCCTACACTAGTTGAAACGGGAAGACAGGGAACTACTCTATTGCTTCTGTAGAGAAATTGATGAGAAGTATAACTTGTTATATATATAAAAGGAAGGGAGAAATTGGACATTATTAGAGGACTATAGGAATTTTGTTTATCAATCTGGAATACTTTGGTTGCCCCTTTCTCTGGAAACTGGACATTCTTACCATAACCTGTCCATTTTACCTCCGAGATAGCAACAACTTTACTTTCCATAAGGTGAATGACTTGAACTAGTGGTTACTAGTAACATCATGTTCAAATGGATAAAAGTCTAACAATAAGTAACCCAATGTATATGTGTGTGTATATAAAACACTTGTACCTACTGATGTTTTTCGGTACTTCTGTAATGTATTTTGTGTTTTTATATGTATAAGGTTATTTAGAGTTGACTAACTATACTTTTATAAATCATTATCCTTCATTTGATTATGTGCCATAATTTGCCAAAAATAATTATATTAAAGCAAATTTTATAGATAATGGGTGGATTTGGAATTTTATTACTTGAAAGTACATGGCAGTACACTAAAAAGAGATATATATGTACCCATAGCAGTGTTCTAAAGGGGGACATATAAGTGCCCATGGCAGTACTCCAAAGAGGGACATATATTTATCCATCTCTCTGCTCTAGAAGGGGGACATAAGTGCCCATGTCAATATTATAAAAAGAGACATGTATGTACCCATGGCAGTGCTCTAAAGGGGGACATATAAGTGCCCATGGCAGTACTCCAAAGAGGGACATATATTTATCCATCTCTCTGCTCTAGAAGGGGGACATAAGTGCCCATGGCAGTACTCCAAAGAGGGACATATATTTACCCATCTCTCTGCTCTAGAAGGGGGGACATAAATGCCCATGACAGTACTCCAAAGAGGGACATATATTTACCCATCTCTCTGCTCTAGAAGGGGGACATAAATGCCTTTGGCAGTACTCCAAAGAGGGACATATATATTTACCCATCTCTCTGCTCTAGAAGGGGGACATAAGTGTCCATGTTAATATTACAAAAAGAGACGTATATGTACCCAATGCAGTGCTCTAAAGGGTGACATATAAGTGCCCATGGCAGTACTCCAAAAAGGGACATATATGTACCCATGGAATTGCTCCAAAGAATGACATATGTCTATGGCTGTGAAAGATATATTTAAACATATGGAATCATTTAGCTAAAATTACATGAATAATATAATCCCTACGTACAAGTAAAACTATGTCATCAATGAAACGGTAACATTAAAAAAATCATACAAACTAAAAGTACACACGAAACAAATATTAAGAAAAGTACCTAATAAATTCTGATCTGACACAACTGATAAGCTTGCTCTACCTGGAAGTTAGTATTAATTACCACTATGTTTCAGTACGTCAGCGACATCCAACCATTCTTGGGTTGTTCTTTATTTAAAAACTGATTAATATTAAATTCGTTTTGTTTTAATTGAGTAACAAATAAAAGAAGAAAAACAGTTTTTTATTTTCTCATTTTGTTATCTCTTTAATTATCTAATAAATGATTTCAGCATCTTGAATGTTGTCAGTTTCTGTTTTAAACTGATAGGGTAGGAACACAAGTACCTTTGATAATTGTGGTATTAATGCATTGTTTTATGTTGCATCCAAGAGATGGGGATACTATCCGTTGATGTTTATGTTGCATTGTCTAAAATTGTTAAAATTAGATTAGTATGTATGAGCCAGTTTTCAAAGAACGAATAATGACAAAAACTTCAAGGAAACTTGTAACAATGTTAGTATTGAGATGTGAAGAAAGCAGAAGAGGACGTTCATGAATCTAAAGTTTGTACGTCAGCGACATCCAACCATTCTTGGGTTGTTCTTTATTTAAAAACTGTGTTTACAATCAGCTGGAATGTGATATACTGATAAAGTTTGGACGTCAGCGACATCCAACCATTCTTGGGTTGTTCTTTATTTAAAAACTGTGTTTACAATAAGCTGGGATGTGATATACTTATAAAGTTTTCTGTATTTTCTGGTTAGTGGAATGAATATCACTGTCCTTCTTCCAGGAGACAAAAATCACCAGTTTTACTGGAGTGAAAAAAAACGAACTCCAATTAATCATTGGTCAATAGTAGTTTAATTTAAATTAAATGAGTTAGGATTTTGAACATCGTGTATGTAGAACATTTTATTGTTTTACTCTAATATGTGCCACCTAGTGGCACAGCAGTATTTCTGCGGACTTATACTATTAGAACCCGGGTTTCGATCCCCGTGGCGGCAGAGCACAGACAACCTTTTGTGTAGCTTTGTGTTTAATAACAAACAACAAATCTTAATAAGTTCCGAAACGTTTGTTAACAATAGAAT